TAGGTGATTTCTCGAATCATGTCTGTATGGAGCTGATGTGCGCACACACAGTTTTGTGTTTCAAAGTAGAGAGACGACCGCTTACTAGCTTGTTGATTGTTCAAGAATGAAATGTATATTGTAAGTTGAACGATTGGGCAGCACGTCTCATACGTGAAATGCATTTCACGTATGAAATGCAAATTAGCATGAATGGAATGTATTGATTGATCATGCCTATATCTAGCTATCTATCTATCTTTATATGTATTATTGTATTAATCATATGTATATAGCTAGGAGTTTTATATGATCATATGATTTTGGATTGAAAAGTACGCAGTGTCCTGAAGAATCAGTTCATGGTGAACTGATAATTCGCTGGTAACATAAACTGCATAATCTATATAGAAATGTCATTTTAATGAGCTCCAATCACGAATGTCTTTTTTCGAATTGTCTTTGAAATTTCATGAAAACAAGAAAAGCAATATTGAAATGTGTGTGTGTGTATGTGACCGAAACCTAATATGGTCATGACTAGAAGGGGGGATATGAGGGAGTATGAGATGAAGGATTATCATCAAAGTTTCTAAAAAGGGAGAGAGAGGGAGAGAGAGAGAGTATACACACTATAAGAGAGAGAGAGTGAGAAAGAAGGAGGGAAAAGGTTAAAGCTCAAAAAACACGGACATATCTTCTTGAATCAGATAGGCTTCTCTTTGTGTTTGAATTTGTACTGATACTTCTTTTGTGTTTTTTTTTTCGTTTCTGCCAGCTATTGCTAACCTTTGAAGCTTTTAATGAAATTTGAAGTGAGTTTGAAGTTGTTGTAACAATTAGAAAATAGAAATTGATGTTGATGATGAAGAAGATGATGATATCATCATCCTCTTTTTTGTTTCATCTTCATCATCATCATCAACCATCATCATCACTATCTCCTTCTTCTCCTTCTTCTTCTTCTTCTTCTTCTTCTTCTTAAGTAGTGTCAATGCTTATTCTCTTTTTTGGTCATTCACTGTATGTGCAACATTGATGATGCTGATGCTGATGATGGTTCTCGTTAAGCTTATAGTTGGTGTATGTTACATGTGTCATCATCATCATCAGCCTTCTTCTTCTTCGTGCATCGTAAGATTTTGAAATAATTTATTATAAGAGAATTGTCTATTCTGCTGTTCTGTTTAGTTATCATCACACATATTTAACATTGAAATAGCAAAGCTAGAAAAAAGATATTGAAAGAATATGAGAGAAAGAGAAAAGAACTTTTTAGCTTTTCCTCTTCTTTTCATTTCTGTCTCTCTCTCTCTTTCTCTCTCTCTACCTCTATATGTATCTCTTTCTCTCTCTCTCTCTCTACCTCTTTGCTGCTTCTTCTTCTTCTTCTCTCTTTCTTTAGTCTTCATCGCTAGTGATTGATGTCAATGCTCAAACACGAGGCCGTGTACTCCAGCCTAGCCATTATCAGCTTCGATGTGACTTCAATGCTTAATCTCTTCTAATTTTAATATTTTTCTGCTCGTTGCTCCTTCTCATGACTGTCCAAGAGTTTCTTCATCTTTTCCATATTTGGTTCTGTTTTTCATTTGACATTCATCTTTTCATTTTTTTTTCTTCCAATCTCTCAGGTTTGAGAAAGACCCTCTGCACAAGAAAAGTGCGTGCAAAACAAAACAGAAATGACGTTTTACTAAATTCACCCAAATAGACAGATTTTTCTTTTTCAATCTATCACTCTCAATCTCTCTATACCTCTCTCTCTCTCTCATCGTTTAGTTAAGCAAAAGAAAATGTTAGAGAGAGACAGTCAATTGGCCTTCACCTAAACCTCGAATTCCGTCATCCATTTTCTTTCTCACTAAACCACCTTTACTCCATTACCAGCATTCGGTCATTCGTCTATTGTAGTGATTCGTTTATTTTCTCAAAGTGCAAGCGCCCTTTTTGTGTGTGGTCAGTGTTGTCGACCAAAGCCGTCGTCGTCGTTGTCGTCGTCTTCATTTCTGTCGTCTGGTGTCGTCTATTTCGGAGAGCGAGAGAGGTCGAAAATGAAGAAATGAAAAAAGAGAACGCAAAAAGCGAGGAGGAAGAAGAGAAAAACGCGTTTTTTTTAGCCAAACTGTAGGGGGGGGGGGGAGGGAGACGAAAATGAAACAGTTCGTTGCGTGTTTTTCGTGCAAAAAAAAAGGTCAGACAGATGAGGAGGGGACAAGCAAAGAGAAGAAAAAAATGGCTGAAAACGGACTGTAAAAACACGAAAAGAAAAAGCTCACCGGAGTTCAATGATGGCTACAGCCTGTCAACTATATGTATATAATCATTGAAATACAAACATATGACAGGCGGCTTTTGATGGAATTCAATTCTTATTTCCATACACATACTTCTCCTCTAAGTACTATGTTTCTTTTGCTTTTTCTGATCTAAAAACTCACTGCAATATACACACACTTAACCTCACAACTGTTAAATTCGCTTGAGAGATGTTAGAGATGCTGCAATGAACCAGGAGAGAGAGAGAGAGTGAGAAAGATTCACACCCCCCCCCCATGCAATTCGATTCCCCCTTTCTAACCTTCAGCCTCTCTGCACTTTCTCGAAACACTTGTTGTCCTCTTGCACTGACCCAAAACCGTTTTTTTTTTCTTCTCTTCTTCATCGTAAGTTTCTTTCAACACACAAAAACGAATTAAGCAGAGTTAATTCCTTTTTTTGTCCTTTTCGCACTCATATACAATCATGTTATGAGTCGTCTGCATATTCACCTTCATAAGGCTCTAAGCTCCACCTACGATCCTGAACAACCGGACATGACGAGAGACAAAGTAGAAATGAGAGAACATGTGTTAGAAAAATGGGTGGGATCAAGGGTGAAGTCAGCGAAATTCGAACTAATGGTAATGACTTCTTAGCTAAGAGGCTTGAGGCAGTCTTCAAAGAAACTTCTGCTTCATGGGTGGTCTCAATAAGACTTACGCTTAAGCTTATCCGTTACGTATGCATTTTTGAATAGACGCTCTAATTAACTGTTATGAAATTTGAATGGTAACTTCCGACTTTGGTCAACTGCTCTAGCTATTTCACAGTCTATTATGAAACTTGCGGTCATATGTGCAGAGAGTGCAAAACGGTATGGGAAACTGTTTTGAATTTCCGGTAACGGGGCCTAATTTATTTCAAAATTGCTGTGATATAATTTGTTTCCTCTTTACCTCTAGTTTGACCTGTCCTCTCTTATGATAATTGTGTCCTCACAGTCATCTCCTCTCATTAGTCACATGTCTGCATTTCAGGAGCACAGCTTTCAAAATTATTTTTTCTTTCTTTCCTCTTGAAGTGGCTCTTGATGTTTTCTTTTAATATGATTAATATTAGAATGAATCTTCTTATATGAACTGTGCTGACTCATGGCTTCCCTCCCGTATTCGACTCCAACCGTAAATGTCTTTTCCTCCTCGTGTTCTCTTCATTTCGGCGAACTTCTCAATGTTTCTTTATTATACATTTTTGATCATTCAATTTATATATACGAATGGTTTTTTACTCAATTATACCTTCTGTCAACCTCTCGTGTTTGTTTTTTATAGTCGCCCTCTCTAAAACTTGTATTCTTTTCAGGTATGAGCCTATTCACTGTAGAACAGCTAGAACTGATACGACGGCTTAGAACCACGGGTATCACGGCTCAACAAGTCGTTGAGGTAAGCTATACTCATTATCAACATTCAATTGTTTATTATCATATCTTATAGGCTTTCGAACAGATGGAACAAATGGATACTGACCTGAGTAAACCATCCGTTTGTGACAACGGGATTTTACTTTCGGGTATGCAAGCTTCTCCTGAGTCAGACTCAGCAGCAGATGACAGTATCTCATCACCCGTTCTCTTACAACATCTGAAAGCACAAGCCCCAGTTCCTGTGACGATTTCAGCCTCTAATCCCACTACGTGCTCATCACCTGAAAGAATCAGCGTTCAGACTGTACCACCCGCATCTTCAGCGGAGCAACAACAACAGCAACAACATTTGAATCTACAACTGGCTCAACTTCAAAATGGAGTCGATTTCAAAAGAGAAATGTGCAATTCCATGTCTGCCTCATCACCCGTACAACCACTCTCATCTCCGCTGGCCGGATCATCCTTATCTTCCACACCATGCTCAGCATCTTCAATGCTCTTCATGCCTAAATTCGAGAATCACTCAGGCGGTCGTCCTATTCGTAGTATGAGGACTCCAATTAACGATATTATCGTCTTGGATGATCCTTCAGAGCTTGTAGAGTTCATGGAGCAAGGAGAAGAAGGCTGCATATCAGATATGAAGCAATTTATTAATCAATATTCACTTCGTCAGACAACTGTTGCAATGATGACAGGTACTGTGTGTTTCCGTATGGTCTATATACAATTTGTCCTTTCCAGGAGTTTCGCAACCTTATATATCGAAGTTACTAAACGGTAATCATCGTGAGCTATCATTGCGTTGTCGCAAAAACATTTATTGCTGGTATCTCAACTGTCGCAAACATCCAGAGAAATTAGGTTAGTTTTGATACTCTTGTCCAAACCTCTTTCTAATAAGCCTTGTAATCTACTATTTGCTTTTCCTTTGAGATTACCTATCCATTAGAACATTTCGTCTCTCTTTTGTTCGCGAATTTTCGAAACGTTCTCTGAACTCGAGAAAGTGTCGCAGCAAGAGATTAACTGTAATGAAGTCGAGTCTGAATGATATCTTGTAGTTAAGCTCTTTCCCATCTATAGGTTATGGCTGATACTTAACGCATTAGGCAAATTAGGATTTACTAGTAGAAAGAGGTGGACCGCAACTGAATTTTGAAAATAATTGAAATCAGTTCAGCTGGTTTATTTGCCCAGTTCACTATATGAATTTATACTATTTGTCAAGGTTTTGTTTATTCAAGATGTCCTTCTTCATCTGTTTGAAGTCCAGCAACATCAGTCTGGCAAACGGAGACAAGAAATTAAGCTGAGTCGAATGTCTAGGCGTTTAGCGCTCTGATGATACATTTGGAATGAAGAAAAAATGAAATAGAGAAAGATTGAGAAGACTTCACGACATCTTCTCCTCTCTTTCTCCTCTCTTTCTCTCTCTCTCTCTCTCTCTCTCTCTCTCATTCTTCTTTCTTCAGTCATCTCATCCAATGATCTCTTTCACGTTTTTCTTTCTGTCCTTTCAACTGTAACTAAGAAGCAAAACTTTAAAAGTAAACAAATCAGATCGCCGCTTACTTTTCTGACCTTTCCTAATGATTTTGCACTATTAACGGTGGAAAAAATAGCAGCGAAGCACACATTTCCATTTTTGGAAGGAAAGGGGAGGGTCTAGGCTACCGTCGGATTAGCAAGCTTTCTCTCAAAAATTACTTCCTTTCATGGATTATTGTTTAACTTTCTGATTTTCAGCTGCATTCCTGTCCGATCCGGCCACTCGTCTCGAAACTAATGGGGATGGAGAACTGATCCCTCAACGACGAGAACGATATGTCTTCCGGCCTGTGTTGATCAAAATGTTGGAGACGTTCTTCTCACATACACCATTTCCGGATCTGAACAAGAGAATAGAAATTGCTACGACTTGCAATCACGCCTTACAATTAGACAAAAAAGGTAAATTTCGTAACTGAATATGGCTGGTTTAAGGTGATTTCCTGATTGAGAGGAAGAAATCCAATCTTTCCTTCATTATTTCTTTATGTTTACCCAGTACCCTATACGGAAATGGTTCTTGAACTAACTCAACAACTTTACAGGCGTTGGATTGATGCCCAAAGAAGTCGTTTCTCCACAAGTTGTGGCTAATTGGTTTGCCAATAAACGAAAAGAACTTCGTAGAAGGTCTCAAGAGAACCAAGAGAATAAGCCTCATGTAAGCTCCAAATGTCTAAGATTCTCATTCACTTGTCATTTCAGATGATGGGATCTCTCGGTTTATCAGCTCAATCATCCACTCCATTGCATGATGAAGGAGTAAGTGATCATTCTATTAACAAAGCACGACTAGATTTTTATTACGTTTACCTGCTCTTTTCGAAACTCGTAGTTGTTGTATTCGTGTATTATTTTCTCGTTTGCAGAGCTCAGGATGTGCATCGACACCTTCACCCTCTATAGAAGACACTAATATGAGTGAAATTAGCAATGAGCGTACATTGTCAGACGTTTTGGGATTGAACAACAGCCAACCTTTTGATATGATGACCCTAGTATCAAGACTAGGTCTTCAGTTACCAGGAATGCAATCCGCAATGCTCTCCAGCCCAGTGAGTCCGTAAGCAATTTGCGTTTTTGTAACTCGGTTTTGCAGACGAGATCTGTTTCACCTGAAATGTCTCCCACTGTTTTGCCTGTCAATGCTGCCACTTCCACTACACCATCCACATCTGCGAGTAGTATCCCTAAAGGCGATATAGAAACTATAGCAACTCACCTCCTCAGCAATCAACAGGTAAAGTGTTCTAGCCAGCATCACGAAGATGTTATGGATTCTTGCAGGTCTCTTTGGCGACATCGTTAGCAATGCTCCATCCAACGCTGAGCATGCTATCAAATGAGACAAGCAAAGCTCAGTTCGATCTGGGAAACTTAGCTATGGCTTATGATCAGCTACGAAGCCCGTTGATCAAATTGGAACAACCAGTATTCAAGTTGGAACAACGTATCGAATGAACTTGTATCAAGCTATGAAATGCGAAACTGAATGGAAATGTCCCTCATCGCATCCATGAAGGACGGTTGTCCTACTGAGCAACCCAAGCCAAGCCAAATGACGTATGAAGCCATAGTCGTCCTCGTCCGTACCAGAGTTTCCATATATTTATTAATTTTATAATTTATAATCCTTGAGAACCTTAGTTTCACATAGTGAACAGTAATAATAGATATTGATTATAAGATGATTCTATGATTGCGTATGTGAAGTTGTCTTACAAACCTCTACTGCCCATGGTATTTCATGATTCCCTCCTTTCTCCTGCCAGATCTGTTCGGTGACCAATCTCCTTTAGGCATCTATTTGTTCTGTTTGTTGTTCGATTTCCTTGTCCAACCTTACTCCTACTTGTTGCACGACAACTCGGTGGCCATCGTATCATCCACAAAACTTTTGCTGGAATTAAACTATTGAACCCCTCCTTCGCCTTCTTTACCGCATGTTTTACATTTCGCCAAAGTGCCAATTGCCCAGCTTCTTATCATCTCATAGATCCATAATAGATCCAAACACTCCATTGGTTCCACAGGTTTCTCTGCGGAACTGAACTGATCCCTGCTTAAGTCACTTTAACACTTTACCCTCCACTATCTATGATGTCTCGCATAATCCGGTTGTAAATACAAAAATAAAATCTTCTTTCTTTGAATTCCAAAGCTTGGACACGGAAGTCTAAAAGGTTATTGGGTTACGGTATGTTACAGTGGCAATAGGAACGAATGACAAATATAATGTGAGAAATCAACAAAGAACAATTTTGATTATAAAAGATTTATTAGAACACAAATAAACTTCCTCTCTTCATGCTCATCTATCTGCAAAATATTGATTAGTTGTTGTATTGATCTCTTACTCTTACCTCGGCATCTCGCGGTGCGTCCATTTTAGCTTTTAGAAATTTATTGTTTCATTTTCTTTTTCATGCAAAGACTTACCTTCGGAAGATTCGGCTTCCTCCTCAACCTTCTTCGCATCCTCACACGACCAACATAAGTTCTGGAAAAAACAGTTTAATAAAAAAATCTGAAGATCTGACTTACTTTTCCTAACTCTTCCCACTCTCATTAGAAACAACCAGGAAGGATAAAAACTTTGTTGATTAAAGTAATCATATACACAACAATTGAAGATCATCGATTGATCGAACTAGAAGAAGTAACGCGGATGGCTATGGAGTCAAAGACGAAAGTACGCCAGAAGTGTGGCCAAACTACGATTAGAAGACTAACAAACAAACAAACAAGTAATAAGATAGTAAGAGATCTAAGCTTCTTGTATTCCCCCCCTCCAAATGTCCCCATCGGACGATCCCTGTCCTCAGCGATTGGGCGTCTTTTTATTTCAGATTGGAAGAGCTTCGAAATTTCCGACCACTCTACCATCTCGTACATCTTAGTATTATAAGCGATTCGTGGATCGACGTATAGTATTTGAATTTATAAAGATAAATGAATATATGAAGTTAATTTAATCTTTCCGCTCACCTTTCTTACGTGAATGTACCGTTTCCCTCACTACATTTCAGGAAGCATAACCTTCCGACAACATGGACTTGCTCCTACAGCAGAACTTGGACGATATTTCACACGCATTGAAGATATTGTGAAACAAGCGGGGAGATGTTATATGTGAATAGGCACGCATAGCCGCCACCTCCTAATCATGACATGCTTTATTACTAGAGCTATCCACGTAGAAGTGCTAGATAACACGTCCACGGCCGAAATAGCTCTGGCCCTAAGACGATTCTGGAGACAAAAACAAAATGAACTTCCTATGCTCGCTAGGATTGCAGCTGGACTTCTAGTCACTCCTGCTACTTCGGTAGATTGTGAGAGATTGTTTGGGTGAAAAATTGAAAAATTTTAGAAAAGAAAACATTTTTTTAGCTCCGCTGGAATGTTGTATGGAAACAAGAGAAGACAGAGATTAACGGGTCGAAACGCGAAAAATCTACTTATGGTAGCAACATATAAGAGAGAGGAGATTGACTACTCTAGATCATGGAGCGATCGTTATTCTACACAGTTGTTCGATTTTGATGATGAAGATGACTTAGGTTTCGACTACGACGAAGACGATGAAGATGATGAAGATGATGTAGAATTGTTGTTAAGTGATTCTGAGGCTTAATGAAGTTTTGTTGTTTGTTATAATTGTACATAAATATGATCACTAAACACTATTGAGTTTTAGGAAAACACGCTCTATTGCAAAAATGATGTTAGCGTTTTAATCGTTATTAGTCGTTTTTAGTCGACTGAACTAATCGACTAATTTCAAGAATAGTCGATTTAGTCAAAAACGATTAATAGAGATTTCTAGAAGTCAATCGTTAGTTGCTTTTAATCGGAAAGCGATTTTTAGAACAAGTAAACCCTGAACCTGTGTCTGGCATGCTTAGAACCAAAACATCAAGAACCCTGCTCTTCCAAACCCGGTTGCCGCAGATGTCAAGACCTCACTATATACACCATGATCTGCCCCTGCAAGAACTCGCCCTACTACAAAGCAAGAAGAGGGGTGAAAAGAAAGGCCGTTATCAAAAAATAATCGTAAAGATTTGTTCGTTTGACTCTCGTTTCTGTGTAGTTAAGGTCTCTCTCACACTTATGTTATGCATGTTATGTTATATGTGTCGTGTACCTTAAAACGTTAACGTACCCCCTTATTTGACCACTAACTTCCTATTTCGTAGGCTTAGGAGTGTGTGAAACAAGCGGGGAGATGTTAACGGAGTACGGTACTTTCACACACCCGTTGAATATGTCTTAGTTGCTAACACATGCAGTTATATGAAGTTTTTTTCGTGGATAGAACGGTTGTTCTCTTTCGACTATCTAGAAAACTCACCATCCCTTTAACTACAGATATCGTTCAGGCAGTCCACCAACATGTACTGTTCTTGGGTAGTAATCATCAGAGCATTAGCTATCTGATAAGCCAAGATTGTTTTTCTCTCAAAAAAACTTTTATTGGAGATAATAAAAAGAAACAACTTGCGTGTAGTGAAACATGGCGCACGAAAGTAGCGAGGCTGTTCCATCTTGCATGGATGTACTTTGGTGGTATGCAAGCAGGTTCTTGGAAAGCTGCGCACATTCTGCAACTTTTATTTATTTTGAATTATTTTTTAATAACACTTACGTGATAAACTCTTTTTTGTTTTTCCCCTGAGCATTTATGTGTCCGCTAAGCAAAACACAAAAAACAAAAAAAAAACAAAAACAAAAAAAAAGCGAAAAAAACAGAAAAATATAAAAAGAAGAATAAAAGTAATAAATGTAAATGAATAGTTTAACGTGAGAGGGGAACGTTCGCTGACCTATACTCACGCCATGTGCTGAGTATAAGCCCGTTCTAAGCTATGAACCCCAAACATAGCGGTGCCAAGAACAAAGTCAGGGCTCCTTAACTTTTCTCACGGAGGTGTTGCCACCTAATGATTTCAGGCAAAGGAAATCATTAGGATAATGAATAGCTTGAAAAACGTCATAAACCGACTGATGTTCGCGAGGACCTACAAGGACTGGACGCCAACCGACTGGAAGAAAGTCGTCTGAAGCGACGAGAGCAAGTTCGAGCTCCACGGAAACCACGCGTATGGACGTGTGAGACGTCCTGTCGGCT